CACCCTGGACAGGTCGCAAGTCCATCACAGGGCCCAGGAAGTGCTAATAATTGGTAAATAATACCATGGATAAATGCAGACGCCCATTCTGACCTTACCACAGAGGAATGGAAAAACTGAGACAAAAAGATGCTGCTGAATGCCACAGATATGCAACAGCYACGTCACMCAGAAGAACAGAACAATGAGACGTTACACTGAGTACTGCACTACGCCAGAATACGTCATTGTAGTACGATAGACAATTCCAACACTTCAACTCAATGCATACTCTGTGTACACATCCTCTGCACGTGGCATACTGTACCTCACAATATTTAACTTTTTACAGTGCTCATTTCTTCAGTTTTGACCCTTGTATAAAATATAAAACCTCACAACCTAGAGTGGACTGTCAGAGAGTAAACTTTCACTTTTTTCTCTCCCATTCCAGTGCACACTGTTTGAGATGGTAGGTCACATTTAGACTGAGGTGTGGGGAACTTTGTAATCTGATGCATAAAGAGTGAATGGTTCACACCTGTTAAACTTGACGGATGTGTTTCTGCAGTCGCATCATGAGTACTTTGTACACTGTGAGCAGTGTACAAAGTACACTGTAATGCTTTGTACTTTGCTTTGTACTTTGTACACTGTAATGCACTGTGTGCATTACAGTATGTGCACCCCTAAAAGAGGCTTCCTGTTGATATTTTAATTCCACCTTCAATATGGATGTCTTTAAATTTTTCACAAGTTGTCTAAAACCTCACAGTGTGACAGGGACATTAATGCTGATTTCAGTTTTATGGATGTCTAACAAACAGAATGACCAGACACGATCAGAATATTAGTTTCTAATGTTTMGTTTCTGTTAAGTCTGCCATGTTTCAAATTTAACAAACCATCATTTTCTATTTACAGTATTTGTTTATCAGGTTCTTTACCAACTTGAAGGGTTTGTGTTGGGGTTGTTTGTTTCATTTATTGTAAGATTTAATAAAGTGTAGGAGAAACTTTTATTGACTCAACGTTTTGAAATGTTCCAGTACTCCTACATGTGGCTGTGTGTGAGTTTATGCTCGCTGGGTGAATGAACTGGACTTTAGACCAGAGTTTGAACAGAAAGAACTGTTTGTTTTAAAAAGTGAAAAGAACTGATAATGACTGTGGCTGAAAGAAAGAAAAAGACTTTCAGAAATATAGACAAAAAGGTTGACTCTGGTGAGGAAGAGAAAACAAGAATAACTTTGTAACTTATATAAAAGACTATTTAGCATTCATGCTGTACATGTCACTGTCACAGTGTAGCAGGTGTAAGTGTGGAGTTCTGTCAGACTGCAGATGTTATTTCAACATGACTCAAATTATCCCTGCTGGGCTCCGCCTCCACTGGTTCAACCAAAAACAGTTTATTTTTAAAATCCATTATCTACTTAGATAATAATAATGACATGTTTTAGGGACAGCATATTTGTAAAATTAGTTTAGAACTGGATCTGGTTCTTGTCAAAGTTCTGTTCCCTAATGAGCTGCTGGACTTCCTGAGTCCAGATAAGTTGAACTCGTCCAGAGTAACGAGCTGCTTTACTTCAGCAGCTTCAAAGACATGAAACAACTTTTCAGAGTCAGACTCTCTTTAAATGGTTAATGGACTGTACTTATATAGAGCCTTTCTATTCATCCAGGACACTCAAAGYKCTTCACTYTACAATCTGTGTCCTCATTTACCCATTCACACAGCACTCTGTTAGGTCTCTACAAAGCTAACGTACAATCATCTATGGAGACTAATCAGTGCCAATCACATTCATACACTGATGGGACACACATCAGAGGGATTAGAGGTGATGTGTCTTGCCCAAGGACACAACAACTGAGACAGCTGGACGGGGGATCGAACCTGTGACCATCAGGATCCAGGACGACTCCATTAACCACTCTGCCACAGCCRCCCCTGTATGAGTTACTTTACTGAAACATTAACCTGTGTGTGAATCAAATCACAAACAACCAATCAGAGCAACAAGTAATGAGTCAGACAAATCAAAACACATCATTTCATTATTACAACTTCAAACAACTTTACCTTACGTTTGATGTGAAACACAATTAAATATGTGTCATGTGATGCATTTAGGTGTGTGTTGTATGTGCTCAGGTCTGTGTTGTATGTGCTCAGGTGTGTGTTGTGAAGTGTTCGGTGTGTGTTGTATGTGCTCAGGTGTGTGTTGTATGTGCTCAGGTGTGTGTTGTATGTGCTCAGGTGTGTGTTGTAAAGTGTTCAGTGTGTGTTGTACGTGCTCAGGTGTGTGTTGTGAAGTGTTCAGTGTGTGTTGTACGTGCTCAGGTGTGTGTTGTGAAGTGTTCAGGTGTGTGTTGTATGTGTTCAGGTGTGTGTTGTGAAGTGTTCAGTGTGTGTTGTATGTGTTCAGGTGTGTGTTGTATGTGCTCAGGTGTGTGTTGTATGTGTTCAGGTGTGTGTTGTATGTGTTCAGGTGTGTGTTGTATGTGTTCAGGTGTGTGTTGTATGTGTTCAGGTGTGTGTTGTATGTGTTCAGGTGTGTTCAGG